GGAACAGAGACATTGGAAAAGCCTGGGAATGTGCCATCCTTCCCCCCTCCCTGCTTTATCCTCTGAGGCATTCCCGGATTCCCACAGTCACCACAATTCCACGGAAAGTGGGAGCAGCCCGGGAGCCCCCCTGGAATGGGGTGGGGGCTGCTCCATGCCAGCCTCTCGGAGCCGTTCCCGCGGGAGCCGGGAGCGTTCCGCGGCTCCCGAGCCCAGCCTGAATTATTGAGGAGTTTGCACTGCAGGCAGGGCTGGGATCTGAGCTGGGAATTCTCTGCTGAGCCCTCGGAGTCTGGAGGGATTTGGGCTGGGGCTGGATGAGTTTTCCATTCCTGGCCTTGACAGCTTTCCCTGTTTGATTCCAGGTCTGAACTGTGTTTTCCATCCTGCCAAACTTCCCTCTGCCGTTGTCCCGCTGCTTCTCCTGCCCGTGGGTCCCAGCAGCACCGGGATGCTCCGTGCGGGGTTCCAGCACTCCCAGGAGCTGCTCCCCAATCCCAGGGGATGCAGGCACCTCCTGCAGCCCTCGGGAGGAGCCCCTGGAGCTGGAAAAGCCCCCACAGCCATGGAAAACCTGGCAGGAGCCATCCAGCCTCTTCCTTTGGGATTGCATCCCAATCCTTTGGGAATCCTTCCCTTCCCTTCCCTTCCCTTCCCTTCCCTTCCCTTCCCTTCCCTTCCCTTCCCTTCCCTTCCCTCCCCAATGCTGGGAGAGGGTTTGGGATGGGATTCCCAAGGTTTTCCCTCCCACACAGGAGCACAATCCATGGATGAGGAGAGGCTGGTGGTGGCAGCTCCTTCCCAGGAGAGCTTTGTCCTGTGCCGTGGATGGGAGGGAAAACAATCCCAGAACCGGCTGGAAAACCGGGAATGTTTGACATCAGCCGTGCTTTGGGATCTGGCTGTGATGGGAAATCTGGGATAACTCCTGGATTCCAGCTCGGCCCCGCTTTGCCTCCCCTGCGGCTCCGGGAATGCTTTTGGGATGCGGGGATTTTTTCCTCAGGCGTTGCTGGTCCTGCAGCTCCTCCCCGGCTCCAGGAGCAGGAATTCTCCTCTCCAGGCTGGAATAATGGCCCGTCCTGGTCTCCTTAGAAACGGCGCTCCCATCCCTCCGGCAGCCGCGCATCCTTGGAGCCTCCTCCTGCTCCCGGGGCTTCTCCCGGCCGCGATTCTCTGCAATTTCTCCAACTTTTGTGTTGGGATTTTTTTTTATTTTCGTTTCTTTTTGGTGTCGCCTCAATGAGATTTTAACGATTTTTGTGTCTCCTCCCTCCCACAAACCTGAGTCCTTCGGGAATGTTTTTAGTTCCCCACATTTCCCCCTCCCTCCCCTCCTCAATCCAAACCTCGCTCCCGTTATTTCCTGGAAAGGTGAAATTTCCCAGAGCTTTTCCCAACTTTTGTGAGGAAAAGTCTCCTCATGGATTTTGGAGGCTCCCTGGGTTTTGGGAAGCAGCTCCTGGCTGGATGTGGGAGCTCATCCTGAAACTCTGCCAGCAGCCAGCAAAGCCCTCCCAGAGCTCTGGAGAAGGGATTTATTTTGGGAATAAACAAATTTTGGGAAGTACAAACCCTGCTCCGGGGCAGGGCCTGTCCTGTGAGGGTGGGAAGGAATTTTTGGAGTTGGCCTGGTGCTCTGGATTCAGGGAATGTGGGGGGAAAGAGAAGGGAAGTGGCTTTTTTTGGTCTTTTCTGGAGGAGGGAATGTGCCAGGGGAAGTGGGAGACGGAAGTTTGGATGGCTGGGAAGGGGAGGAGGTTGGGAATGCCCCAAAAATAGGAGCCTGAAATTTGGATGGCTGAGAAGGGGAGGAGATTGGGAATACCCGGGAGCTGGGAATGCCCAAATAGGTGAGAGACTGAAACCAGATGTCTGGGGAAGGGGAGGAAATTGGGAATACCACAAAAATGGGAGCCTGAGGTTTGGATTCCTGGGGAAGGGGAGGAAATTGGGAATGCCCAAAGAAAGGGAGTCTGGGAGCCCAGGTCCTGGCAGCCCAAAGCTGGAGCCCATTCCCAGGAAGGAGCTGGATTCGGGCCTGGATCGTGCCCATCATTCCCACCCCCAGGTTTTGTTTTCCCTCTCCCTGCGGACACTTCCACAAAAAACTCCGGCTCTGCCTCGGTGCTACCGTGAGCTCTTTATTCCCTGCCCGGGGCGGCGCGGGGCATTCCCGTTCCTTCCCTGGGAATGAAATCCCGGCCCTGAGCTGCTCCCGATCCCACCCCTCTGCCCGGGAACGGCGGCACCGGGAGCGGGGCAGGGGTGGGGACTGGGCAGGGATCGGGACTGGGATCCAGGCAGGGATCGGGACTGGGATCCGGGCAGGGATCGGGACTGGGATCCGGGCAGGGATCGGGACTGGGATCCGGGCAGGGATCAGCTTCCCTTCCCTTCCCTTCCCTTCCCTTCCCTTCCCTTCCCTTCCCTCCCCAATGCTGGGAGAGGGTTTGGGATGGGATTCCCAAGGTTTTCCCTCCCACACAGGAGCACAATCCATGGATGAGGAGAGGCTGGTGGTGGCAGCTCCTTCCCAGGAGAGCTTTGTCCTGTGCCGTGGATGGGAGGGAAAACAATCCCAGAACCGGCTGGAAAACTGGGACTGTTTGACATCAGCCGTGCTTTGGGATCTGGCTGTGATGGGAAATCTGGGATAACTCCTGGATTCCAGCTCGGCCCCGCTTTGCCTCCCCTGCGGCTCCGGGAATGCTTTTGGGATGCGGGGATTTTTTCCTCAGGCGTTGCTGGTCCTGCAGCTCCTCCCCGGCTCCAGGAGCAGGAATTCTCCTCTCCAGGCTGGAATAATGGCCCGTCCTGGTCTCCTTAGAAACGGCGCTCCCATCCCTCCGGCAGCCGCGCATCCTTGGAGCCTCCTCCTGCTCCCGGGGCTTCTCCCGGCCGCGATTCTCTGCAATTTCTCCAACTTTTGTGTTGGGATTTTTTTTTATTTTCGTTTCTTTTTGGTGTCGCCTCAATGAGATTTTAACGATTTTTGTGTCTCCTCCCTCCCACAAACCTGAGTCCTTCGGGAATGTTTTTAGTTCCCCACATTTCCCCCTCCCTCCCCTCCTCAATCCAAACCTCGCTCCCGTTATTTCCTGGAAAGGTGAAATTTCCCAGAGCTTTTCCCAACTTTTGTGAGGAAAAGTCTCCTCATGGATTTTGGAGGCTCCCTGGGTTTTGGGAAGCAGCTCCTGGCTGGATGTGGGAGCTCATCCTGAAACTCTGCCAGCAGCCAGCAAAGCCCTCCCAGAGCTCTGGAGAAGGGATTTATTTTGGGAATAAACAAATTTTGGGAAGTACAAACCCTGCTCCGGGGCAGGGCCTGTCCTGTGAGGGTGGGAAGGAATTTTTGGAGTTGGCCTGGTGCTCTGGATTCAGGGAATGTGGGGGGAAAGAGAAGGGAAGTGGCTTTTTTTGGTCTTTTCTGGAGGAGGGAATGTGCCAGGGGAAGTGGGAGACGGAAGTTTGGATGGCTGGGAAGGGGAGGAGGTTGGGAATGCCCCAAAAATAGGAGCCTGAAATTTGGATGGCTGAGAAGGGGAGGAGATTGGGAATACCCGGGAGCTGGGAATGCCCAAATAGGTGAGAGACTGAAACCAGATGTCTGGGGAAGGGGAGGAAATTGGGAATACCACAAAAATGGGAGCCTGAGGTTTGGATTCCTGGGGAAGGGGAGGAAATTGGGAATGCCCACATAAAGGGAGTCTGGGAGCCCAGGTCCTGGCAGCCCAAAGGTGGAGCCCATTCCCAGGAAGGAGCTGGATTCGGGCCTGGATCGTGCCCATCATTCCCACCCCCAGGCTTTGTTTTCCCTCTCCCTGCCGACACTTCCACAAAAAACTCCGGCTCTGCCTCGGTGCTACCGTGAGCTCTTTATTCCCTGCCCGGGGCGGCGCGGGGCATTCCCGTTCCTTCCCTGGGAATGAAATCCCGGCCCTGAGCTGCTCCCGATCCCACCCCTCTGCCCGGGAACGGCGGCACCGGGAGCGGGGCAGGGGTGGGGACTGGGCAGGGATCGGGACTGGGATCCAGGCAGGGATCGGGACTGGGATCCGGGCAGGGATCCGGGAGGGGAAGCAGGGCGTGAATGAGCCCCCGCGGGAGCCGGTGGATCCCTCGCTGTGCCCGCACACCGGGCCCGCTCCGCCGGGATTGCTCCTCCCGGGAATGCAGCTCCGAGCCCCCGAGCCCCCTCTGCCCATCCCGGGAGCCTTTGGGATGGGAGAACTCCCCCCCAGCTCCTGCAGAGCCGGGATCTGGGGGGTGCCCAGGGACAGTGGCACCTCCAGGTGGCTTTTCCCCCTTTCCCGAGCTCTTCCCGGTCTCCAGGGGCTGCGACCCTTCCTCCGGAGCCCTCTTTAGGAATGACCAACCCAGTCCAGGCCGATCCCTTATTGCACTGAGGGACTCGAGTCCCGGCCGTGGCTCTCGGTCCTGTTCCGCATCCCAAATCCAGCCCTCGCTCCCCATCCCGGCCTCTGCTGACCCCGGGGCTGCCGCTGCCGCTCTTCCCGCCGGGGAAAACGGGAGATTCTCCTCTTCCTCCCACACCTGCGGTTTCCAGGGAGCATTCCCTGCTCCAAAGCCACCCCCATCCCTTCCCCCCGCCCCCGGTGCCTGCAGAACCCCGGGAATCATGGCCAGGGAATCCCGGGAATCGCTGCCTGGGAAGCGCTGCCCCGGGAATCTCTGCCCGGGAATCGTGGCTCCGGGAATCCCAAGAATTGCTGCCCAGGAATCGTGGCCCGGGAATTGCTGCCCGGGAATGGCAGGAATTGCTGTCCCCGGAATCGCTGCCTGGGAATCTCTGTCCGGGGAATCCCGGGAATCGCAACCCGGAGAATTCCGGGAATCTCTGCCCAGAAATCGCTGCCCGGGAATGGCGGGAATTGCTGCCCCAGGAATCGCAGCCCGAGAATCGCTGCCCGGGGAATCTCGGGAATGGCAGCCCGGGGAATCCCGGGAATCGCAGCCCGGGAATCGCAGCCCGGGGCTCATCCCGAGGGGAAGTAGGGCCGGCGGCTGTGGTTGTTGTAGTCGGGACACACCTTCTGCACCAGGCGGTAGTCGCTGCTGTAGAAGGTGATGTACACGCACACGGCGCGGAAGGGCTGCGAGCACAGCCAGGCGGCGCGGCTCTGCGTGTGCTCCTGCGAGCACGTCTTGGCCGGGTCGAAGGTGCACAGCGAGGTTTTCCTGGCCCGGGCCACCTGCTCCGACTCCACTCGGCAGTTGAACACCTTGGACTCCTTGGCCTCGATGAAGATTTGCTGCTCCAGGTCGAACTGCACGGCCTTGCTGGGCGGCACGAGGCTCACGGAGATGTTGCCGTGGCCCGTGGAGTTGTGCTGGAAGAAGACGTTGACGCTGCCGTTGCCGTGATCCACCACCTTGCCCGTGATCAGCAGGTTCAGCTTCACCGTCTTGATGTTGGAGTAAAAGTCTCCCCAGCCGAAAAGCTTCTGCAGCCCGCTCGGGGCCGGCCGCGGCTCCCGCTGTGCCCGCGGGCCCGGGTCCCGCCCGGCCCGGTTCTCCAGGGCTGCCCCGAGCCCCCGGGAGCCGCTGCCCGGCCCCGGCGGGGTCCGGCTGTGCGGCGGGGCCGGGCTCAGGCTCGGGAGGGGCTTTGGGGAGAGCAGCTCCAGCAGCTTGGGGGCTCTGCCGCGGGCCCGGGGCTCGCCTGGATCCGCTGCTTTGCCGGGTTCCTCTGGAGCGCAGAACACCTGGGCGGGGGCATGGAGGAGCTGCGGGCTGGGGGCGGCACCGAGCCCTGCCAGCCCCTTCCTCAGGGTCACCGAGCCCTGCCAGCCCCTTCCCCAGTGTCACCCAGCCCTGCCAGCCCCTTCCCCTGGGCCACCGAGCCCTGCCAGCCCCTTCCCCAGTGTCACCCAGCCCTGCCAGCCCCTTCCTCATGGTCACCGAGCCCTGCCAGCCCCTTCCTCAGTCGTCCTCAGTGTCCCCCCCTGCCGCACGCCCCTTCTCCACGGTCACCCCTGCCCAGCCCCTTCCCCAGTGTCACCCAGCCCTGCCAGCCCCTTCCCCTGGGCCACCAAGCCCTGCCAGCCCCTTCCTCAGTGTCACCCAGCCCTGCCAGCCCCTTCCCCAGTGTCCCCCCTGCCCAGCCCCTTCCCCAGCCTCGCTCCCCCCTTTCCCCTTCGTTCTGTTCCGTGTTTCCCCTCGGGCAGCGGCATCTCCCGCTCTCCTCCCTCCCGGCGCTCCGGGAATGGCTGCGAGGAGCCGGGATGGCTCCGCTTCGCTCTCTGCCGGCTCGGGGCGCAGCTCCTGCACCCCCTGTGCCCCCAGGGGACACCCGGGGCAGGGGGAGGACGCACGACAAGGGACAGCAGAGCGGAGTTGTCACCCGGGGAGCTGCCCCGGGCTCCTCTGCCGGCTGCGCCCCCCGGAACCCCCAAACCGCCACATCCAGGGGCTGCCGGGGGGGCTGGGAGCACCCGGGGGGGCTGCAGCCTCATCGCCCGGGGCTGGGGGACCCACAAAAGCCGCGGGCACCCCGGGGCTGACCTGGCCGAGGAGGCAGCGGGAAGCAGAGGAAGCGCCGGGAAGCGGAGCCCGGAGCCGGCCCGGCCCCAGCTCTGCCCGAGCCCTCCCGGGGCTGGGGGTGCGGATTTCTGGGCTGATCCGGAGCCTTCTCCCCGCCAGCCCTGCCCGCTCCCCGCGGTCAAATAACAGAAGTTTTGGGACGCGTTTTTTTTTTTCCCGGGGGCGGGCGGGGATGCGGGGACGGCTTTGGGGCTCGCTGCCGGCTGCCCGCACGCCCCATCCCCGTGGCTGCGCGACCCCCGGCTCCCGCAGCCCCCGTCCCCCCTGCCCTGCCCTCCCGGCGCTCACCAGCAGCGCGATGCTGCCCTGGAGGAGGAGGAGGACGCAGCTCCGAGGAAGATGCATTTTCCAGCCGCCGCCGCCGCCTTCTCCGCGGCTCCGCTTTGGGGAGGGTTTCGCTGGGATTTTCCTCCTTTTTCCGTCTTTCCCTCCCTTCTCCTCCGGCGTCAGCGAGGGGAAGGGGGGGGTCCCCCTGCCAAGCGGCTCCCTAGGGCCCCCCCCGGCCCATGGTGGCCCCGGCAGCTCCCGCCCCGCGGGGCCGCTCCGGGCGAGGCGCGGCGGCTTCACCTGCGGCCGCTGCCGTCCCCGTGTCCCCTTGGCTGTCCCCTCCCATGTCCCCCTGCCCGCCCCTCCGCCTCCCGGCCCCCTCGGCCGCCCCTCCGCTCCCCCGCCCGCTCAGGGAAACTCCGCTCCATCCCCTGCTCGCTCCATCCCTGCTCGCTCCAGCCCCGCTCCAGCCCCGCTCCCGCCTCCCCCGCCAGGTGCCGGGGCCGAGCGGCACCTCCGGAGTAACCCTTTGGTGCCCGCGGCCCAGCAGAGCCCCCCGAGGGGGTCTCTGGGGGATTGGGGGGGTCCCTGGGGGCTCAGCGGGCTCTGGCAAAGTCCCCATCGCTCCCTCGGGAGAACCGGCCCAGGCTGGAGCAGAACTGGGAGAACCGGAGGGACTGGGTGGGGGGACACGGGGGACTCGCGGGGGTCCCCGGCTCTGTCCTTGTCACCGGCATCGCCCTCTGCGGGCGGCTCGGCCCCGTCCCCCTCCCAGGGAAAGGCAAAAGCCCTCGGTTTATCCACAAAGGAATGGCAGGGATCCCTCAGAAAGGAGCCAGAGGCCGCAGGTTTGGGATCTGTGATGGCTTTTAGCCCATGGAGGGCAGCAGTTCTCCTTTTCCCACCTTTCAGGAGAAGTTGGAATACCGGGAATTAACTTCCCGTGGGCAGGACTGGGATCAAACCCGGCATTCTCCCGCCCTGAGGAGAAAATCCCTTTTCTTTACAGCCCTTTGTGCTCCTCTCCACATCCCTCCCTCATCCCGCCTTTCCCTGAGCTGCTTTGGGAGCTAAAAACGGAGCGAATTCCCTGCAGAGATCCCGGGGTGCAGCAGGATGAGCCCCCGAGCCCCCCCAGACCCCCGGGCGGCTCTGGAAGGGGATTTTTGGGAAGGGCAGCAAGGCTGGGTTCCTGCAGCGCTGCTCGGCTCCTCCTGGAATCCTTGCAAAGCCGAATCCTGCTGGCAATCCCACCTCGGGCAGGAATTTCCTGGGAGCCGGGTGGGGTTTTATTCCCCGAGCAGCTTCCCTGGCGCGGTGGCACTTGGGGACACGGGATGTGGCACCTCACAGGGGGATGTGGCACCTCAGATTCCCCGAGCAGCTTCCCTGGCGCGGTGGCACTTGGGGACACGGGAGGACAGGGGGATGTGGCACCTCAGCGGGAATGGATTCCTTAGGGAAAGGCGGGATTTGACCTCGGAGCCTTCCCCAACCTTCCTGACCCCGCACTCCTTCTTAATCCCAGAGCAGATCCCGGCTCCTGCGCTTTTTTTGGGAGCAAAAAAGCGACGGATCCCTCCAGAAACCACCCAGGGCCGGTGAATCCCGGAAGGATCAGGGAGCACCGGGGGGGTTTGGTGCTGCGGGGGTGGCAGCCGAGCCCGGGGAGCCCTGGCCGGGCTGCCAGGCCCTTTCCCGGCGCCGCTTTCCCGGTTTTCTGTTGCCCTCTAGCGGGACCGGGCGCTGGGAAGAGCGGCCGGGACCGGGGGGGGGCTCAGCCCTGCCGGGAAACCTCGGGATGGGAGAGGGAAAGGAGGGAGACGGGGCCGGGAGAGGCTCTGGAGAGCCCCCGGAGCCGCCCCCCAATCCCGGCTCCGCTTCTGGGAAGCGTTTTCCTCACGAGGAGCTGCGGAATTGGGGATGGGAGATGGGAGAGAGAGAACCTCCGGGAATGGGAATTTCCTGGGGGCAGGGGGGATTTGGGGAATTTCCTGGGGGCAGGGAGATTTGGGGAATTTCCTGGGGCCAGGAGGTCTCCCCTGGCAGTGCCAGAGGTGCCCCCGCGGCAGGAGCGGGATGGGATTTAAGGCCCTTCCAACCCCAAACCACCCTGGAATTCTGTGATTTTCCCGAGCCAGCTCAGCCGTGCAGGGGACTCATCCCAGGCAGCTCCAGGTGGATTTTTTGGGATGCCGGGGATGGCGGCCGGGCACATTCCCGGATCCCTGAGCTCCTTCTCCCCACCCTGGCGGCGACCCCTGACCCCAGCCCGAGCCCGGGGGAACGGCTGATCCCAAATGTTCCAGATAATCCCAGAATTCCCAGGCTGATCCCAAATGTTCCAGGTGATCCCAAATGTTCCAGATGATCCCAGAATTCCCTGGCTGATCCCAAATGTTCCAGATGATCCCAAATGCTCCAGATGATCCCAAATGTTCCAGATGATCCCAGAATTCCCTGGCTGATCCCAAGTTTTCCAGTCTAACCCCAGATTTTCCAGCTGACCCCAGAATTCCTAGGCTGATCCCAGAATTTCCACCCTTTGGACATCCCCTTTGGTTGTGACCCGGACTGAGGGTCCCGGGGGGGTTTGGGGGCTCTGGGGGTCCCGGAGCCCCCGGGGGATGCAGGGGTGGGGGATGGGATGGATCAGCGCCTCCCCTCCCTCCTGCCCGGCTTTGTTGATCCCGGGATTTTGGGGGAATTTCTGCCTTTCCGGGGCTCTGCTCTTCCCTTTGCCGCCTTTTGGCCACCCCAGCTCTGCCCGTGCTGGGAATCCCGCGGCAGGAAAAGCAGCTGGGAGAGGAAAATCCAGGGAAGCGGCTGCAAGGCTCTTCCAGGGCAGAATTCCTGGTTTTGCCCCAGAATGGAGCTGGATTCCATCTCCAGAGCCTCATCCCTCGTCCAGGCCTTGTTCCGGTGAGGAATATTGGGGAAAAATGGGAGAGAGAGGAGGGAAGGAAGGAAGGAAGGAACGAAGGAAGGAAGGAAGGAAGGAAGGAGCTGGACAATATTGGATGATTCTGGCACTTTTTGGGGGTTTCTGCTCCTTCCCCAGGTTGGGAGAGGCCTCATCCCATCCATCCCATCCCATCCATCCCATCCATCCCATCCATCCCATCCCATCCCATCCCATCCATCCCATGGATCCCATCCCATCCCATCCCATTGATCCCATCCCATCCATCCCATCCCATCCCATCCCACTGATCCCATCCCATCCCATCCCATCCCATCCCATCCCATCCCATCCCCAGCCGTGTTTCCTTCCCTCCCTGATCTCCCGGGTCTCTCCTGTTCCCACATTTCTCCGGTTCCTCCCTGATGCACAACCCACCCTCAGCCTCTGGAGCCGGGACAATCCCGGCTGCCCCGGGCTCTCCCAGCGGAATTCTCTGTGGATCTTCCATTTTTTTTTTCATTTTCCATCCCGTTCCAAGCTGTCTCCCCCTGATTCCTGCTCCCGTTCCCCGTGCCTCCTCCTCAGCGTCCCCCGCTGGGTTTGGGGCACTGGGGGCCAAAATCCGGGGGGGTTTGAGGGGGCGGGGAGCCCCTCCCAGCCCCGGGCAGGATAGGGATCGGGATCGGGATCGGGATCGGGATCGGGATCGGGATCGGCTCCCGCGGCTCCCCGGCTGCTCTTGTTGTGGCTTTTGAGGTTTCAACCAATTAAAGCAACAAATTGTCCATTTGAGCGAAACCCACGCTGCGAATCCCAGTCCCAGGGGATCCCGATCCCGAGCCAAAATCCCAGCCAGCAGCAGGAGAAAAATCAATTTTTATCCGAGAAAATCGAGCGAACTCTGGAGCGTTCTCCCTTCTGTCGACAAAACCCTTTTCTCCCCCTTCCTTTCAAATGTTTTTTTTGGCTCAGATATTCCTGTTTTTTTTTTCCAAAGGGTTGGGATGAGGGGGCTGGACTGAGATTTAGGGAGAGAGGGACGGGGACACGGTCCCAGCCAGGTTTTGTCTGGAAAAAAAAGCGGAATTTGGGGTTAAAATCTGTTATTTTGATATGGAGCCGATTAAAGCTCAGCCCTTTTCCAGAGAATTTCTCCAGCCTAATTGGATTTGCTTTCCCTGTTCCCGTGCGCTCCTTGTTTGGTTATTTATGGAAAACATCTGTCCGAGGCCTGGCAGCTCCCTGAGCTGGGAATTCAGGGAAAATCTCGGGGATTTTCTTTGGGAAAAACATCAAAATATCGGGGACCCTCTGGGTGGGCAGCAGGGCTGACAGGACCCCCCAGCAGGGCAGGGAAAATCCCCAATTCCATGGAGAAAATGGAATTTTTCTGGCTGGAAAATCGAGCTTCCTCCCCCCAGCTGTGCTGGGATGAAGCCAGGGATGGTTTTTCCAGGTAAAAATCGGGATAATCGCTGTCCAGCGCTGACTCAGCCGTGATTAACCCGGGTAATTAATCCAATTAATCCCGGGATGGGTCATGAGGCCGAGATTTTCCAGGCTGGTGATGTCATCGCTCTGGAGGTGTCCATCCTCCCCACAGGATTTTATGGATTTTGGGGAAGTTTTCCTCATTTTTCCCACTCCCCGTGGGGCTGGGGCTGAGGGAATTGGCACCACTGGAGCTGAATTCCAGTGGGAATCTCCCAATTCCAGAAGGAATCTCTCAATTCCAGCAGGAATCTCCCAATTCCAGCAGGAATCTCCCCAATTCCAGTGGAAATTTCCCTAATTCCAGTGGAAATCTCTCCAATTCCAGCGGGAATCTCCCAATTCCAGCAGGAATCTTCCAGTTCCAGCAGGAATCTCCCCATTTCAGTGGGAATTCCACTGGATTTTCCCCATTTCAGTGGGCATTCCACTGGATTTCCCCATTTCAGTGGGAATTTCACTTTATTTCCCCATTCCGCTGGGAATTTCACTGGATTTCCCCCATTTCAGTGGGAATTCCACTGGATTTCCCCCTGATTACCGCAGGGATTTTCTTCCCACCCCCTCTCTCACCCCTTTCCCTCTGTCCCGAGGTCTCCAATTCCCTTTCCCAGCCTCTCCTCTCCCGCTTTTCCGGAGCCACCGGCGCCCTTCCCGCCCCTCTCCCGGCGATCCCGGCTCTGATTTCCCGGGATCCCGGCTGGATCCGCGCGTCCCAGCCCAGGCCGAGCTTCCCGAGCTCC